CCAACTTTTGGGTTTAGGCAATTCTCTTGCCTCAGCCTCCCGAGTAGCTGGGACTACAGGCACCCGCCACAACACCCAGCTATTTTTTTTGTTGTTGTAGCAGTTTGGCCGGGGCTGGGTTTGAACCTGCTACTCTCAGTATATAAGGCTGGCACCCTACCCACTGAGCTACAAGCGCTGCCTCCCCCACCCCTTTTTTTTCTTTGAGACAGAGTCTCATTCTGTCACCCTGGGTTGAGGCCCATGTCATCAGTACAGCTCACAGCAACCTCAAACCTCGGCTCAAGCGATCCTCTTGCCTCAGTCTCCTGAATAGCTGGGACTTATAGGCACCTGCCACCACGCCTAGCTAGTTTTTTCTATTTTTAATAGAGATGGGGTCTCCTTCTTGTTCAGGCTGGTCTTCTAACTCCTGAGCTCAAGTCATTCACCCACCTCAGCCTCCCTGAGTGTTAGGATTACAGGAGTGAGCCACAGCACCCAGCAGGCTAATTTTTTTCATATTTTTAATAGAGACAGGGTGGTCTCCAACTACTGCTTGCTTAGGCTGGTCTCCAACTCCTGAGCTGAAGCGATCCTCCCCTGCCTTGGTTTCCCAGAGTGCTAGCCTGGCCTCTGAAGTTATTGATTGATTGATTGAGCCTTTTGAGAAGGCAAATGGTTGAAAGTGCCTGCTGTGGGAATACACCTAGACCACTAGGTGGAGGTGGGACAGTTTGTGAAGGCCAGTTGGGAGGATCTGAAGAAGGAAAATACATTATGGTGAGGCAGACAGGCAGGTACTGGAAGAGAAGTAATAGCCAAGAGATGGACTAAGCAATTGAATAATGTGTTTGCTCATTCTATAATCTCTGTGATTGTAATAATAATTGCAATGATGAGATATAACAGGCACACTTGATATTGCAAGAAGTCTTTAGCTCCAGAATATGAAAACCTCTGTACCATTTTCCAGCTCCATTACTCCTGTGACTTAAACAAGTTACCCAACTCTTGGTTCTTCTATTTCCTTATCTGTAAAATGGTCTGTTGGGGTGAGCATTAAATGAGAAGTAAGTGAAAGTGCTTGGTAAAAATCAAAGTTTCATACTACCAAATGTGAAAAAGATTGGAAATTACTCAATACAAATGTAAGCAAAGAAAACTAAATAATAAAATTGCCACCAGAGGCTGAGCGCTGTGGCTCATGCCTATAATCCTACCACTCTTGGAGGCCGAGGCAGGTGAATTGCTTGAGCTCACAAGTTCAAGACCAGTTGAGCAAGAGTGAGACCTTATCTCTAAAAAATAGCTGGGCGTGGCTTGATGCCTGTAGCTCAGTGGCTAGGGAGCCAGCCACATGGACCAGAGCTGGGGAGGGTTTGAACCCAACCTGGGCCTGCCAAACAACAATGACAACCACAACCAAAAAAACAGCCAGGTGTTGTGGTGAGTGCCTGTAGTCCCAGCTACTTGGGAGACTGAGGCAAGAGACGCTTGAGCCCAAGAGTTTGAGTTTGCTGTAAACTATGACACCATGGCACTCTACTCAGGATGACAAAGTGAGACTCTATCTCAAAATAAATAGCCACCGAACAGTGATCCAGACAATGACATTCCACCTCGCAGATTCTCTCCTGGGATTCCACCAAGTCTAGATGTCACAGCACATCAGGGACATTCGCAGGCAGAAGTTTATGTAAACCTGTCTAGAATTTGGTGAAGAAGGATCTTGGAAATGTAATTCTCTCAGGCAGCTGAAAGATCAAGTTAATTAATCAATCAGCTGAGACTTCCCTGAGTTCCTAGGGATCACTATGCTGAATGTATTTCACTGGCCTCTGATCCATACTAGGATTAGAAATCATTTGGAAAACAGGATTGAGTCCCTGTTAATTTGTCTTCAATTATTTTTCCTTAATTTTCAAAATTTCTAAAGACACAATTTGGTTTTTGCATTTAAAATTTTGCTTGAATGAGCTGATAATATTCCCCCAAATCCAAATGTTCTTAACTTAATTGCCTCAAAGCCAATTCAGATGCTGATGAAAGGGAAGAGAAATTAAGAGGCAGTTATTCTCGGCACTGAAAGACAGTATAGCATTAGGGGATGATTTTGGGAAGAATATGGTTTGGGCCATATCTAATATGGGTTCATGGACATGAAAGATGGAAGAAAAAAAGAGGATTATTTGGAGTGGACACAAAAATGCAAAAGAAGCTGAAAGTAGTACCATCAGCAGGTGGCTATGAAAGCAGCCATTGATACCTTGTTGCGCAGGTGACCAAAATCCAGCGAGAAGGAAGTGGCACTATCCCTCCTCTTCACCACATAGCACAGGTAGGTCTCATGCCGACCCTTAGCCCATCGGACATTTTTGAAGTGGTAGAGAAACTTCTTCCGGTTCATCAGGAGGCTGTGGGTGAGAGGAGGGGGAGGATATGCAGGAGTGCTGTTCATTATCTGGCCACCCTGGGTTTTCTTTCACTCCCCCCCCCCATTTGTAATTACTTGGGCTAACCACGAGAAGACGCTCTGGCTTCCTTTGCTGGCGCCTGAGACCCACTGAACTGGGAATCCATTCTAAGCTCCATTGCTGCTTACATTTAAGACCAACTGAGAGATGCTCAGTAAGAGCCCCAAACCCTTATTAGCTCCCAAGATAATCTGCGAAGGCTTTCTTCTAAATCCTGATGACTCGGAATTAATCAAACTTGTTCCTCATTCCATAATTATATGTACAGGTTTCTGCTCCAGTCTCTGTCTGAATGTCTGATATGTACCTCAGACTGAACATGGTCAAAACAGTATTCCGCACCTCCCGCTGTCCTGAACTGCCTCTCCGTCTGCCTTCCCCACCTCAGGTAAGCAGCCTGGAAGCTTGGAATCATCATCCCTGATTCTTCCTTCTTCCTCCGTCTTCATATTTAATTAATCATCAAAATGTGTTGTTTCAAACTCCCAAATATCTTGAATTTGCACCTGCTTTATTTTCTCTGTTCTCTGCTTCGGTCCAAGCCCTCATCTTCTACCTTTTTTTGTGGTGCTGGCCTCTGCCTCCAGTCCCTCCGACATAACATTCTCCACACTGTCACCACAGTGATCTCACTACCCAGTGTGCCATGTCATTTTCATGCTAAAAACCTAACAGTTCTGTCCACAGAAAAAATTCCAAACTCTTCAATGTAGTGTTTTTGGCCAGTTTTCTTTTTTCTTTTCTTTTTCTTTTTGAGACAGAGTCTCAAGCTGTCACCCTGGGTAGAGTGTTGTGACATCACAGCTCACAGCAACCTCCAACTCCTGGGCTTAAGCGATTCTCTTGCCTCAGCCTTCCAGGTAGCTGGGACTACAGGCAGTGGCCACAGCACTTGACTATTTTTTAAGTTGTAGTTGTCATTGTTGTTTGGCGGGCCCAGGCTGGATTCAAACTCACTGGCTCTGGTGTATGTGGTTGGCATCCTAGCTGCTTAAGCTATAGGCCCTGAGCCAGGCCAGTTTTCATAGTTGGCCCTCAATCAATATTTCTACCTTTGTTCCTAGTACTGGTTTCCTTCCTTCCCCCAGGGGCAGCTCCCTTTGCAGCAGCCCCCAGTCCAGCCACTTCCTCTGCAGCAGCTCCCTCTGCAGCAGCTCCCTGTGCAGGAGGCCCCTATACTGCAGCTCCCTGTGTAGCAGCTCCCTCTGCAGCAGCCCCTGTCCAACAGCTCCTTTTGTAGCAGGCCTTCTATACAGTAGCTCTCTATGCAAGAGACCTCCCCACTCTATACAACAGATTCCCTATACAGCAAGCCCTCTCCTATATAGCAGCAGTTCCCTCGGCAGCAGGCCCCTGTACTCCTTCTGTAGCAGGCCCTAGTATATCAGCTCCCTCTAAGGCAAGAGAATTGCTTGAGCCCAGGAGTTTGAGGTTGCTATGAGCTCCACTGCAGAGGGAGCTGCTGCTGTACTGGAGGGCCGGCTGTATGGGGAATCTGTTGTATGAGTGGGTGGGGGGGCTCCTGCATAAAGAGCTGTTGCTACTATATAGGAGGCCTGCTGCAAAAGGAGCTGCTGTATAGGGGGCTGCTGCAGAGGGAGCTACTATACAGTAATAGCAGTTCTTTATGCAGCAGGCCCCCCACACAACAGATTCCCTATAGGGTTTCTGTTGTTATTGTTATTGCAGCAGGCTCCCCAGTACAGCAGCAGCTCTCTCTGCAGCAGCCCCCTGTACAGCAGCTCCCTCTGCAGCAGCCCCCTGTACAGCAGCTCCCTCTGCAGCAGCCCCCTGTATAGCAGCTCCCTTTGCAGCAGGCCTTCTATACGGTAGCAGCAGCTCTGTAAGTGGGAGGCCCCCCATACAACAGATTACCCATACAGCAGGCCCTCCAATATAGCAGCAGCTCCCTCTGCAGCAGCCCCCTGTACAGCAGCTCCCTCTGCAGCAGCCCCCTGTATAGCAGCTCCCTTTGCAGCAGGCCTTCTAAACAGTAGCAGCAGCTCTCAGCCGGAGGCCCCCCACACAACAGATTACCCATACAGCAGGCCCTCCAATATAGCAGCAGCACCCTCTGCAGTGGCCTACTGTACAGCAGGTCCCTAAGCAGAAGACCCTCTGCTCAGCAGCTCCCTCCCTTGGGGCAGCTCCAGGAGGCTAGTCTGCTTTCCTTCAGCTTTGTCTTTCCTACCGCCTTGCTGAATGCTTCCCTTCCTTTTTTCCACTGGGCAAACTCTACATCCTTCAAAGCCTAACCACAATTTCAATTCTTCTAATACAATCCTTTTCACTACCACTATCTCATATATTCTAAACAAAAATCTAACAATAGCAATAACAATTAAAAACCCTCCTCTAGGTTCCTATTATTTTCAAATTTATCAATCGCTGACATCTCTGTCACCTCAATAAGACTTTCTGTGTTTTGAGGCAGAGTGTCACTTCATTTTATTTTCAAATGTCACTTAATAAATATATATTTTATTTTTTTTGAGACAGATTTGTTGCCCGTGGTAGAGTGCTATGGCGTCATAGCTCACAGCAACCTCAGACTCCTGGACTCCAGTGATTCTCTTACTTCATCCTCCCAAGTACCTGGGACTACAGGCGCCTGTCACAACACCTGGCTATTTTTTTTTTTTTTAGAGGTGGGGTCTCGCTCAAGGTCAAGTGATCCACCTGCCTCAGCCTTCCAGAGTGCTGGGAAGCCAGGTGTGAGCCATGAT